TAGGGTAATTCCTACAGGCAAGGTTTATCTTCTCTTAGTGAAATAAAGTAAAGTTATTAGTATTGCATTACCTTTCCTGAACTGCCTTAAAGAAGGGTATAGTTTCTTGACAATGTCTAACAGAAGCTATACTTCCCTCTTGAACACCGCATATACCCGTAAGGGATTCCCTGTGCCGTGTTGTCATTATAGTGTGAAAATTAAGAAGGCTTTCACCTATAACAGTATAACCAGTCTTAACACCATCTTTTTTTCTTGCTTTTGCTTTATGAAAGATGAAAGTGAAAATGATTACAAGTAGGCTTTAACACAGGTTACTTGATTGTTTAATAAAGAACCAAGGCCTGGAGCTATTATAACAAACAAAGAGTTGGCTCTTATGAATGCTTTTGAAACAATTTTCTCTGATTTAGTAAATTTGCTTTGTGTGTGACATATAAGCAAAAATATCTTAAAAAATTGCAAATTGCAATTTCCAAAAGACACAAATAATGAAGACAATGAGTAAAATAACTTTCTAGAAAATGGAATGATATTATTAGTTTAGAAACTGAAGACAAATTCAATACAAAATAGAAAATTTTTGCTCTATTTACAATAATAAAGCTGGTGTTATATTCTATCTTGAAGAAACTTGGATGCTATGAAAAAAGTAGTTTGTAAAAAACTTGGACTAATGAAATTCTTTATCTAGAAATAACAGTAACTTTTTGTATTAAAAACTCACATGCAGTTTTTAAAGCATACTTACAAACATTAACAGAAGACCTTTATCAGGTTTGCATGACAATTACTCTAGCTATAACTAACCAAAAAAAAGAAATTGATTCAATAATTGAATCAGAACATATTCATATTCCAATTTTTGCATGCAACAATTCTTTATATGTGAATCTTAGAAGCAAAGTCTTAGCTTTTGCTTTCAAAAAAATAAATGAGCAGTGTTAGCAAATTACTTTACAAGAACAACTACCATCATGTACTAGGTCTTTTTTAAGAACAATAGGTTTGTCTTGTGCTTATTATATCCAAAATTTAGATGCTAATCAGAGCATATCATTCAAAAATATCCATAAACACTGGTGGATTCAAAAGTGCCTACTAATACCACAAATTAGAGAAAACATTTTCTATTATGAAGATCTACTAGAGCCTTTTTTGCAAAACCTAAAGGAAAGATACCAAGAATGGCCTAAACATTAATGAGCAGCTATTAGAGAAATATTAAATAATATGATTGATTCTTCAATAATGGCTTTGCAAGACCCTCAAGTAGTTTACACTAAAGGACATTCTTCTGATGCTTTAAATTATCAATCAACCAATACTACAAGAAGAGATCCTTCTGAATTTGAATTTGTTAACTATAGAACAAGACAATGTTTTCTTTGTAAACAGCCCAAGCACAATATACATACTTGTCTAAATAGGAATAGTACAAATTAAAATATTTAGCTATAGTTTATTTTACTTGAACAATTAAATCATACATAGTTTTAAAATAAAATTCATAAATAGTGTCTTATGATGATCTCTAATATATTGATACAGAGAAAAAAAATTAAAAAATTCAAATTTCTATATAAATAAAGTAGTAAGAAATAAATATTAGTCATCTATTTTATATTTGAATAATGAATAACTAATTAGTCATAGCATTCAAAAATAAATTCAATTCTGGATCTTTTACCCATATTAAAAATAAATCTAAATACTTTCACCTTTAACTAGTCTTTAAATCTTGTAGGTTCTATACAAATAGATTAGATAAAGTGTTAGTCATTCATTTATATTTAAGTAATAAATTTTCTGATCAGTCATTATATTAAAAATAAATTTAAGTTCAACTTATACTTATATTAAAAGTAAATCCTATTATTTTTACTGTTAGCCAGTCATTAAATCTTTAATATATATTTAAGTTTCTATATAAATAAAGCAGTAAAGAATAAAATGTTAGTTCTTTGTATTATATTTAAGTAATTGGTTATAGCATTCAAAGTCTTGAAACTTTTGCCATATTAAAAGTGAATCCAGTTGATTTTCTTTTTAGCTTGTTAGATCTTAATCAGAAAGTATATATTTTAATAGTCTATATAAACTTTTGAATTTTTGATCTTGAGATTTTAGACCAATTTTAACTTTCATTCTTAGGTATATACTGGATATTGTATGATTAACATTAACCAATCACATGCAAGATAAATTACATGATCAAGTGATCATCAGAAATTTTTGTGATAGAAGATACGAATATCAAAAATAAGAAATATGAATACTAGCCTTCAAATAATAATAATAATAAAATAATAATTTGTTTTATAATATTAGGTTCAAGAGATGTAGTGATCTAATGAAATGGTTAGGTTGTCAACCTTCCAAGTGATAGGTTGAATGTTCAAATCTTATTGACAGTGAAAATTTGGATAATTACTTATATAATATTTGTATTATAGCAACTGTTATTAACAATTGGGTTAGAATACTTGTAATAGCAGTTGCACCAGCATAACTGGCAGGTTATGAGGCATTTGTGTAAATATGGCATTACACAAAGAAATGCAAACCAACAAATCAGGTGGTGCAAATACTAGATAAGTCCTTGTGGCTATATAAATCTGTTAAAATTAGATAACAAAAAGTCTATTGGAAAGATCTAAGTAAAGAGGTAGCTGGATCTTTGATAGTCCTACTATAAAGGCTAGCCTAAGAAAACAGATACCAAGGTTATAGTACCTGGTCATAGTAGCCAAATAGGCAAAAACCTTCAGATTAAAAGTCTTGAGAATACTACTAACTAGGCTGCTAGAACAAACTGAAGAAAAAAGATATCAGACCAATATAATATACTAATAGACTAGTTGTAGTTCTATACAGATTATCTGAATTAAAAATTTAGTAAAAAGGCAAGTGAAAAGGCAGGAGTATACTAAAGTACTGAATTATACTGTAAAGTAGATACTGAAATCTAAGTAAACTTTACAAAAGCATAGCAGTTTAATAATTAGCCCTGATTACAAGTATTAGTTCTGCTATAGTAATACCTAGGTCAGTTGTAAAAATAAGTACAGAAGGCTCTGAGAGGTTTACTTCAAGAATAAATTAGTTCTAAGATTGAGATGATGATCTGAGTATCTGGGTATGACTCAATGAGTTAACACAAGTTACAGGTTCAAAGGGTTTAAAGTAAAACATCTAAGCAGAAGTGTTAGATATGGCAATTGGTAGGGAACCTTCAAGTGAACTCCTTAAATAGATAATATAGAAAAGTTATATATGTAGCCAATTGTATGCTTTTCTGTAGTAGTTTATTGAACCAAAATATTGGTAAGTGATTAATAAAAGTTAAAAGACCAAAAAGGTCATCTTAATACCAAATAATAATAATAATAATAATAATATTAGGTTTTAAATTTGTTATATGATTTAAAATTATATTTATAAAATTTTTTTTTTATAATACCAAATTGTAACTTATACTTTATTTAGTTTTTTGCATTACTATTATATATAGTTACATTACATTTATGCTATTAGATTATTATTTGCTTTAGATACCCAATATAATATTATATCTACATTTTTCTATATACTCTATTTTTGTAGACTTCATTATATATTTTAATTATCATTACTAAACTACCAGAAAGGCTATAGATTATCTTGTTATACCTCTAATTTTCTCTACTTTTCTTACCTAGCAGCCTTCTTGTCTACTACCTATAGTAATTTATTTTTTTTTCAAATTAGTTGACTCTAGCAGTTTCTTGCTCTTTTTGCTACTAGTTTGATATATACAATCTAATTTACTTCTTAGTACTCTAGTAGCATAGCTGGATTTATTAAGATCTAAATTATTAATTTGCAGTTTACTTTATATTCTTTTTCAAATATACTTCTATAGTTGGTTTAGTCTGTGGCTTAATTGCATATACTTTCTGTAGACTTTCTTATAGGTATATTGCTAATTATATACTAATGTACTACTAGTTTGATGTTGCAAAAAGGCCTGAAATCTTGATTTATTATATATAAGTATAGTGCTTATCATCTAAGTCATAATATATAACTGTTTGAAGAATACTGTACAAGTACTTTTAGAAATATCTGTTTAAGATGTTTCAATTTTGGTTAGACTAATCCTTTGCTACAGATCTTCTCTGCATATACTACACCACTCACTATTTCAGTTTGATTATATAGTATTACTTCTCTAATCAAGTACTCTATAAGTTAAATATAGAAATGTTGATGCTACTCTATTTTTTGAAAACTTACATGTATGATACTATTGTTAGCCAAACTTTTCATAACATTACTATTACATATAGTACCTTTATTCTACAAAGTTAGTTTTCTTTTATGAATTTTTAATCTGTCCTGGTACTTCATCTTAGGACTTTTTATAAGACTCTGCATTTAATTTAGCTTCTTATAAGTTATAAAGTTAAAATTTTAAAATTTTGGCTTCAGTCTAACTTGAACTGTTAACCTTGTTTATAGAAAATTAGCAACTTTACTATTAAGCTATAGAGCTCAATTCTCTTATATTTACAAAATTAATTATTACTAATACTATATTAATTATTCTAGTTTTATTTTATTAATTTTACTTAGTTATTTATATTTAAGTTTGTATCTACTATATACTTGTATATAATTATAGAATTTATATATCTAAAAAAACTTTTTCTACTGATCTTCATAACCAAAATTAGAACAAAAAGAAAATTATAGAAATCACAAAAGCTAGCAAGTAAAAGCACAGTTGTCAACTAAGCAAAATTAAAGCTAAGAAGAAATTAGATATAGTTTATTAGAATAAGTAAACCTAGTTAACAACAATATAGTAGTTAGTCTTAACTTTTAGAGAAAATTTTTGCTCTTTGATGTAAATTTTTAGTTAAAAAAAGGAAAACACAAAAACCTTGTACTGTAGATCACATATGTAACATGTAAAGCAAGTCAGAGTAAACAATAAACACAACAAAACAAATAAACAGATGCACAATCTCATAGATAAACAAATAAACATAGATATATATAAGAAGACACATATTGAATATATACAGATAAGATATAGAAATAATGCAAAAAAGTGTAACACAAAAAGTTCAATCAGTATCTACAGAGATCGACTAGTGTAAAAAATTAGAAAAGTATCATGATATGTTTAACAAATCTGACAGAATACAGAAAGAATTATTAGATAGTCATAAATCAAGAGTATTAAGAAAAGATAAGAAATTGGTCAGACTAGTCGGCACTAAAGCAGCCTTAGTTTGTGTGTTTAGAAACTTAATTGAAGTATATAATTACTGTGAGTATGTATAAGTAAGAGACAGTGAGAAACCAAAAAAGAATAGTATAGAGCAATTAAGTAAAGACAAAAAAAAGAAAGAAACATTGCTAAAGCAAGAATGTGAATATATGGATTATGGTACATTAGAAAAGCAAACAAGAAAAAGCTCAGTACTAAAAAATAAAGAAGAAAAAAAAGTTAAAACAGAAGAAAGTAAGCAGCAGAAGAACATAACCAATGATATAGAGACAAACAAGAAACATAAGACAGATGAAGAAGAAGTTGAACATAAAGAAGAGAAGAAATCTGAAATAACCATAAATGTTGAACAAATATGAAATGAACAAATAAAAGAACAAAGTGATACAGAAGAGCCAGTAAAAATGCATATAAATAGTAAGTTAGAGAACAATATCAATACAATATAGGACATTCCAGTATATGTAAGACTAGCATGTATAAGAAAATATCTTTAGTTTTATAGTAGAATTAGGTTTATTTAGTAGAAAACATGTGGTAACAGTAAAGTGGTAATGTTCACTGTTGAGTTTAGAAATAAGAATAGAAAATCGATGCTTGATTAGGCATGATTAGTGCATTTTGAAGAAGACAAAACATGTAGAGTTACTCCAAATACTTTTGCAAAAGAGGTACTAGAAAATAAAGCAACATATAAGGCAATAATCAAAAATATTTCAACAACAGCAATAGAGGTATTATTATTAAGACAACTAAAAGTAATAAAGGTGAAAGCAGTTTATATTTCGGTAAATAGAAACAAGAATTAACAGAAAACTGCATCAGTCTACTTTGAGACAGAAGAAGACTTGTTAATAGCTACTAATAAAAAGCTATATTATTATAATACAAGATTAGATTGGTATAACAGAAGAGCATTCAAAAACATTGAAACTAAAAGAGAAGAAAACAAAGATGTAAAAGAACATGTCATAAATAGGAGCACACAGTATAGAAAACAATTGAAAAGTTAAGAAAACATAAAGAAATAAGAAAGTAATAAAGAAAATCAGCAAAGAAAAGATAAAGAAGTTAACAAAAAAGATAACAATAGTATGCAAACAAGAGCAGTTGATGTAAAGAAGATGAAAAGTGAACTACAAGAGGTTCTTAGTA